CATTAAATAGTTAATAGAATTAACTAATTTGTAAATAATTAAAAATTAATTAAAAACTACATATAATTAAAGGGTAAAATAAAATTTCGATCGAATAAATGTGTTAGATGTGCAAATCCAAAAATGATTTAACTATTTAATATATATTAAATGGTAAATGAGAAAACAAAAAAAGTTATCCCTTATAATGGTTTTAAGTGGTGATAAAAGCATGTCCAATACGACACCTTTTTTACACAAAAATAATATAAATTGTTTTTCTAAATTTTCAATTTTTTACTGATGTTTATAAATAAAAGGTTTTGTACATTCAAACCATAATGTGATGCATAAATATGTATTAGTTAGATAAATATGTGTAAAATCTATGACAAAAAAATAAAATAAATAATATTTCATAAGAGATAATTGATAAAATTTTGTTATTCTTGTTCCATGCTTATGTTTAACTAGGCTAATATCTGTGCGTTGCACAGAATACAACAATATATTTGAAATATTTACAAACATATGTTTTTTTTAAATATATCAATGACGCTGTTGTTAGTTCTAATATAGTAAATCTTATAATAAGTTGGTATGCACATTGTTTGTTTTGATTCATATGATAATGTCGACGTCTTTTAAAATTCTATTATCTCAACTGTCTTAATGACCTTTACCTACATGTTAGTCATGAATAAAATTAAAAATAAATGTAGTTTAATGATATTCATAGTTGTTGTTATGATTTAATCGAAATATATCACTAGACATTGTTATTTAAATAATTAAAATATTACAATATAGCATTTAAAAGGACTATAATACCATATATCATGCTAACAGAAATATACTACAATAGGAGACATCTAAAAACATAGTTTATATAATTGTTAGAAATTTTATATTTTAAATGAAATAACATTAAATAGTTAATAGAATTAACTAATTTGTAAATAAGTACAAATTAATTAAAACCTACATATAATTAAAGAGTAAAATAAAATTTTGATCGAATAAATGTGTTAGAATACAAATCCAAAAATAATTTAACTATTTAATATATATTAAATGGTTAATGAGAAAAACAAAAAATGTTATCCCTTATAATGGTTTTAAGCGGTGATAAAAACATCTCCAATACGACACCTTTTTTTAGAGAAAATTAAAATGAATTCTTTTCCAAAATTTTCAATTTATTACTGATGTTAATAAATACAAGGTTTTGTACATTCAAACCATAATGTTATGCATAAATATGTATTAGTTATACAAATACGTGTAAAATCTACAAAAAAAATAAAATAAAATAAAATAAAATAAAATAAAATAAATAATATTTCATATGAAATAGTTGATAAAATTTTGTTATTCTTGTTCCATGCGTATGGTTAACTAGGCTAATATCCGTGCATTGCGCAGAATACATCAATATACTTGAAATATTTATAAACATATGTTTTTTAAATATATCAATGACGTTGTTGTTAGCTCTTATATAATAAATCTTATAATAAATTGGTATTATCATTGTTTGTTTTGAATCATATGATAATGTAGACGTCTTTTAAAATTATATAATCTCAACTGTCTTAATGGCCTCTACCTACATGTTATTCATGAATTAAATTAAATATAAATATAGTCTAATGATATTTATTAATTAATTTTAAAAAGTTTATTTACTTAAGATTTAATTTCTATAATATTAATTATTTAAAACATCAAACATTGTTTTTGTTATAAAGGTAACAATATAATTTTTGTATATAATGTTACTTTTAATTATTATTGTTGTAAGTTATTTAAAATAACGTATTTGAAAACTCTTAATTATTTTAATTTAGTTTCATAAATTTAACTTTTTTAAAATTTATTTGATTAATATTATTAGTTTCTTTCATTGTAATTATTTAAAAGAACAAACATTATTTTTGTTTTTAAAGATGACATTATCTTTTTTTTATATAATATAACTTTTAACTATTGTTATTGTAAGTTATTTTTAAGCTATTTATTTGAAAATTCTTAATGATTATAAAAAATAGTTTAATGGTTTTTTTTGTTAATTTACAATAACAATTTAGGTTTAACATTATAATTTATAACTTTTAACTATTTATAAAATAGTCGTTTTTTCAAGTTTAACTGAAATTTTGATTTAAGTTAACCGTTTAATATTATATTGAAATTAATAATTGAACTATATTGCATAAAATCATAAATTATACAAAAACTGTGACTTTATGACAATTCTTCACATATGACAATATATTTAAACTGATAAGTTAAATTTAAAGTCATAATTTTATAAATAGAAGTAAAATATGATATTTAATATTGTAGTTTAGTTAATTTATGATTAGAATTTAGTTTTTACATTAATTTAACATTATTAACCAATTTATAATAATTATTAGAAAAAAATTGAAAAATCATTTAGGTTTCAAATGCATCTGGTGCAAGTAAAAATACATCTTTTATAAGTATATATATAGATAGATAGATGATAACATCAAATTTTATATTATATTATTCTTTTACACAAAAATAATATCAAAATTCCATATGTTACTTTTCGTCGCTTATGTTTTACGTAAATTCATTTATAGTGTAGTTAATATGATTATATATGTTCTAAATTTGATAATTATTAATTATAATATTAAGTTACATGTTAAACTTATATTAACTAATCAAAATTGTAAGACTTAACTTTTTATGTTTCGTATTTATTTAAAGTTCTATAAATCTTTTACAACAAAATAGATGTAAATGAAAATATAAAAGCTAACAAGATGAATGGTATTTTTGATAATTTATGAAAAACTAAAATAAAATATACTAAAAACAATTTTTTTTCAAAACATGATGTAAAAAATAATTTGAGTTTAAGATCACCGGTTGTGACGATCAATCTGCTAATATATCATTTATCATTGTTTATTCTTTATTTATTAATATACTAGTTTATAACCCGTGAGAACCACGGTTACAAAATTAATTAAACTTTAATAGTAAAAAACTCAAAATTATTAATCACTTATTTTAAATAAATTATTAATTAAGAGATTTTTTTAGTTATATAAAGTTATAATAATTGATTTAAATAAATATGTAAAATTATATCACTTTATAATTTGTATTAATTTTATTTTAATTTTTATTCTAATGTTATTAATTTAATGTAATTAGAGTGAAAAATTTAAAATTTGAAATTTCAAATGAATAATCAATAGGTTGACAAGTGACATGTATTAATTAAGAGACATAATAATGTGACATATGACAAAAGAAAAATAAAATATACATTAATTATGAGGCCTAATATGGTGACACATGTCAAAATGAGAATAAAACTATTCTTTTATTAGAATAGAGAGAAGAGATTTAAGTCTTATACTGTTATCTTTTGGTTAAAAAGAAAACAAATTAAATTTCTTTATATGGTAATTTAAGATAAAATAAAATATTAATATTGTATTCATGTTATCGTTCGAAGGTCATTATTTGATGCGAAAAATTTATAGTAATATTGCAAATATGATTAGGAAGGCAACAAATGTGTTTTAAACTTTAAAATATCTAGTAAGTTTCTACTTTTTAATTATTTAATATGATGAAATTTATGATTTATTTTAATAATGTATATACAATATAACAATAGTTTTTAATTATATGCCTAAATATATTATCATATTATTTTATATTGGATTTATCGAACATTATTACGTTATTTCAACTATCAACTAGCTTGTTAAGTCAAAGTTATTTTTTTAGCTAGTCTGTCAAATTAATCAAAATATTATATTTACAACTAAAAATGGAATAAAACAAGAAATGATTGTTGGTCCGGTCCTTAAATATACCGACGATCCCCGTGAACTCACGTTTTTTGTAACGAAAAAAGAAAGAAATTCCACATACTATTTATAATGTATGTTTGACCGAATGTATATTTTTGAATTCTCAGACTTAGAATAAGACATATACATAAAACTAAAAGTAATAAAATATAAAGTGTATTTTAAAGAATTTTAGCTAAAATAAAGGGTAAAATGCAGAAAAACATAATCATATATTTATCTACCAACATTCAGAAAAAACTCTTATATTTTGTTTACATGCAGAAAAATCTTTATATTTTCAATTGCCTTTCAGATTTATCCAAATATCTGTTTTTTTAGAAGTTAAAGATTGTTTTATGACATTTATGACATGACATTTATCTTGTTTGTTTTTAGGTTGACATGAAAAAAAAACAATATTACTTATTTTTGCTTGAGTAAATTGTCGTTGAGTAATGATTTGTTTCTCACATTTTACCTTAGATGAGAGACAACGTCACTTATTTTTTTTACATGTTAGCATGAAACAAAAAAGATAAATGACATATCACAAATCAACTGCTAAGTTCATAAAAAAATCCGAATATTTTGGTTAATTTGAAAGGTAACTAAAAATGTAATGATTTTTTTTTATATCAACAAAATTTAAATGTTTTTTTTAAATACTTAATAGATAAATGATTATGATTTTTTGCATTTTTCCCTTAAACAAAAGAACTATATAATAAAAATTTTACACCATTTGTTTACCATACGAAAACAAACTGAATAATTATTCTAAATTTCTAATTTAATTACTATGAAAAAAATCATAAGCAAACTCATATTTTGGTACAAAGACAACGTAATTGTGCCTAATTCTACAAAAAATGAGCAAATTTGTGATCAATAATTCCTTTTCTAAATATAAAAAAAAAAAAAAATCTAACTTCGATTATTAAAAGCGTTTATGGCTTTTTCCAGAAGGTCTTTCTGATAAGCACTACTACTTATATATAAGCTAAAATATTAGTCATTGCATGCAATAATATTAGCTGTTCTGCTTATCACTCGGTGGGACCAGAATAAACCCACGCTTTCTTAACCCATGTCAAATCCACGGACATGCCTATTGCGCGACACGTGTATAACTAGACTTCCCTTGTCAATACGTGTTTTTAACACTTTACCTAGGCGCGTGAGAGAATGCAACCTTTACAAATCCCAAAAAAAACTTTATAAATACTGCCCCGAAACCTCAACTCACTCACAGTTGTGATACACCCTCTCTCTCTCTCTCTCTCTCTCTCTCTCTCTCTCTCTCT